TTGTTCAAGTTTATCGTGAACTCCATCATTCAGTGTTACTTTGCGGATTCTCGCAGTGTAGACCTGATGGAAAACTTGTTGCTCCTGATTATGCGAACTATATTAGCTTACTGGTTAACGACTTTGGGGTTATCATCCAACTCTGAATAGCCGCTCAAGATTGATCCCTTCATATGACATGCGCCTCGTACCTTCACAGTGCAAACTCTTGTTGCATGACCACAATCACTTGATAGCGAGAAACGGACTAGTTGATCGATTCATTCAGCTGCTGTATCAACAACGACAGTTTCACTCTGTCTAAAAGGCCGTGTTTACAGGGCCACAGTGGGAGCCATTCTACTCTAAGGCAGTGAGACTTGGCCTCTCCAGTCTGATGAGCAGAGGCGCCTTTAAGTCCTTGATCATCGCTGCTTTTAAAGCATTGTTTGTGCCAGTTGGCATCAGCATATCCTCAATGATGATATGCGGGGGCGAGTGCTAGGCAGTGATTATCATGCTAATTCCTTAGATCAACAGAGCACTGAATAGGTTGTATTGACTTAGGCACGTACTACGTATGCCCGGTGATCACTTACTGAGGAAGGTCTTGATTTGTTTGCTAGATGTAAGGTGACGCAAAGCTCGACGTGGGAAGATTAGTAGGATGTGGGATGACAAGGAAACTTACAGCACAAATACCATTGAGGTCGGCTCTTCGCCATGTCACCTAGTTTCTCCAACCAAACGTGTTCATCGTTCTTTGGACACCAGCCTAACAATCGAGATACACTAACCGACGCCAGCTTTGAAGTAAGGGTCTTCATCCCTATTTATCAAGTCTTCTCTTGACCTCCCCTCCTCTTCTTCCATCCCCACCCCCGGCGAGAAGAAAACGTACGATGTGGTAATCGGTGTGCTTTCACGCGCAACACGTGGCCCAGCCACCGGAGCCTAGTGGTTGATATAATGGTGCTGCACGGTCCACTCGATCCTCCTGCACCAAATAGACGATGCCTAATGGGCTCACTGTTTACGCCCTGTTCCACCCAGGCATGAGCTGTTGCGAAGGTAGCGATGATCGAACCTAACTAGCCTCTTTATGTCTCGATTTGATGCGCCAGTTTTCGCTACCGTACAGGAGGGTTGAACGGATGGTTGCATTATAAACTCTGTCGGTGCCACAGGTGGCGGAGATTGGCAAAAGCACCTCAAGCTTTTGCTATACGGTTTGTGATCTCATCTTTCATACCACTGGCACTGATATAGATGCTTAGATAATTGAATTTTTCGATGAATTCTAGCTGATCACCACCATGGGTCAGTGCAGGGGTGCGTCTCTGTCAATCTTGGAGAAGGATTTTGCACTTCGGGAATGAAAAGCTTAGTCCGGAACGACTGATAGCCAATGCCAGTTTGTCCAGTGTTACTTGGCAACCTTGGTAGCTGTCTCAAATAAGGAAAATACCCTCAGCGTTCCCCAAATCACGAAATGCATCACCTGGGAACAGCTCCACGCCTTGCAGGTCGTGTCCTGTGAACGCACTCTCCATGACTTCGTCGATAGAGAAGTTAAAAATAAATGGTGACAGTGGGTATCCTTGTTTCACACTGCTGGAGATATTGAAGTGCCGATCAAGCTTGCCGTAAACCCTCACTCTGCCTGAGTTATGTGTGTAAAGTGCTCTGACAATACGTATTTTTCGGGCACATCTTTCCCGAGTAGACAGTCCCAAAAGACACATCGATCAATCCACTCGAAGGCACTTTTGATGTCTAGGAACTCGACTACGGTGGCTCATTGATAAATATAGCGGTGCTCCAACAAGTGACTTAATGTTAAGATATCATCAATACAGCCGCGATTTCGACCAACCCCGGCTTGATCCTCACGCATATGGCTTCCACGGCTACCAGCAAGTCCATGAAGATCGACAGAAGCGAGTTTCTTAGAGGCAGTTGAAATCAGGCTGACTCATATATGATTGCCGCATTCCCAACGTGAGCACCCTTTGAAAATTGGGGCTATTCTCGACCGGCTCCAGTCAGCTGGGACAGTTTCCTGTACCCACAGCTTCACAACTAAGTTATGCTGATCATCTACCAGAGTAAGTCCCCGAATTTGAAGGGGGCTGGAGGAATTTTATCTGCCCGTGCGGCTTTCTTTACTTTCAACAGTCTGATCTCACGTTCGATTTCCACGCGTGAAGACGAGTCCAGGGTGACGGCCCAGGGTGTTACTCGGTCAATGACCGAAGCAGAAGCTGGTAATTCTTGTTACTTAAACAGCTTTTCAAAGTATTCAGTCAGGCGATCCAAGAGTTTTGACTGCCTGTTGATTGACTGTCCATTCTCGTCGCTTGTGGTCTCGCTAACGCCAGGTCTCCTTCTGCCTGTTTCGCGTACCAGACGGAATAACTTCCGAGGGTTACCAAGGGCAGGGGCTAGTTCCACCTCCTTTGCACGATGTGACCACCACGCTTCGGAGTCTCTCTTTAGACTAGCACCCAACTCCGTACCGAGGTCTTCATCGGTCTCGTTGTATTCGCTTTTAACCGGAATGTGTCGGCGAACGTCCAAAAGTTTCAAACGGCTTAGAGACTCAATGTCGAAATTGGCGATTTGATTTGTCACATGAAGTTATGCCTGATGCTATTAACTTCTGGTGAATATGCGACCAGTGGCCCTCTACCGTGTTTTGGAGAGCGTTTACTCAGCCAGGATGCCAGCGTACTTTGATACACATTTAGGACATGTGCCTTCGTCAGTTGGCATGTATCTATGCGCGTCACAGGGACACCGCATGCGCCCACCGACGCGAACTGTAAGATCGGCACAAACGAGTGCCTGGTCAAAGTCCATGTTTGTGCTCCAAATTGAGCAACAGTTTTTTACACAGCTTCTCCAGCGGTAACGGATCGCGATGTGGTTGATTTGCGTCCATGGCTGCTTTGAGGCGGATGGGCGCCATGTCACTCTACTGCGGGTGCTGTGTCGGAACTTAGTGCTTGCGAGAAACAGACGAGCAACTTCACACCTGTGTAGCAATCGCTCACCGTTATCATTACGGGAGCCTGCACCGTGTTGGCCGCTCATCAGTGGACAGTTTTCCAACTTGAGCGTTCAGATCACTAGCCAGCACCAAGGTATCTGTGCTTCTTCAGTGATGAAGGAGCTCGTTCAGTTGTTGGTTTACTTCATCTATCACCGAGTCAGCGTTACATTTTGTTGAGGCTTAGACTGAAATGGCAAAGCTTTGAAGTTAACCAGGTAATCCGACGGCGCACATCCGACTGTTGACTGGGATCCAGTCAACCAGGGCTGCTTCAGCCAGGGGACTAAGCGCGATGCTCACATCGGCTTGACTGGTATTTGAAGCTGCGTTATCTCCAGACAGGCGTAATTAGAAAACCTCCCAGTGTCGCTTGTGAGAGATCGCAGGGTAATCACGGAACTCGAATCTTACAAGCGAGTTTCCGATAAGCAGTAGGTATCGATCGATAGGATCTCTAGTGTTTTTGCCAATCTACGACAACTTGCGCGCGTGGATGGGGGCTCCATAGAGAAACGGATGAACTGACCTTGTCCACTTGGTTGAACATGGACTTGTCGGCTGCACTGGAGCACCGCCCTGCGATTGCATGTGAGTCGAAACTAAAGGACAAGCGACTATTGAAGTAAGATGGTGGGCCAAGAATTCTAGGGTTGAAAACAAGGGGGGGATAGAAGTGAAATTGGAGGGGGACGATGATGATAAGAATGCGCGAAGGCTTGAGTAGCAGCATCCTTACCGCTATCCATCCTACTCGATGCAACAGATAAGGCGCCGTTTATTATCCGTTGCGGCGGCCAATACATCAGAAGATCGTTAGAAGAGATATTCCTTGTGAGACATCACATCAAAGAAGAAGCAGGCACCAGTGATTAGATAGCTCACCGTACTGGCGATTGGTTGTCACGCGACCACCACCAATCGCGTATGGACTAGCTGTGCGGCGAGGTCACCTTCTCAAATCTGAACCGCTGACTTCTGGATTACAATGCAGGCTCATCATCCTTTCGTCCACCGGCAGACGATGTAAGGCCAATGGTCCGTTATCCATCTCGCTTTGTTCACACTGTACTAGTTATACTTGTTAAACTGTTTTCATCCTTCGTGGCAACCACAGATCAGGCTAGCATTTCTCCTCCAATACTATGGTTGCTTACAATAGCCATCACACCGCTGGTGTCCTGATAAACACTAACTGTCAGGAGATAGACTGTTGTCTCGGCGTTAGTCGGATGATATCCACTTTCGGTACCGCTTTCCTCACAGCTTTTCACTTTCTTGTTTGTATTTCTTTTGTGCACCAGGACAATATGTTCAAGTTCGATGTGGAGAAGCAACAATTCGGTTTGAAGCCAATGAATTGTCCAGGCCATTGCCTCATGTTCGCCAAGGAGACCCGTTCGCATCGTGACCTTCCGCTGCGGTTCGCCGATTTCGGTGTACTTCACCGTAACGAATTTTCCGGTGCTCTTTCAGGCTTGACTCGTGTGCGGCGATTTCAACAAGATGATGCACATATTTTTTGTCGCGAGGACCAAGTAAGTCTGTAGTATTTTTCGTTTTTTTATCGACACCGTTGTGTTGAGGCTTCGAGGAGCTTCTTCGCAACGACATTCTATTCTAAGACTGTAGCACACTCCAGAAACCATTAGTCGAATATACCTTCTTGCCTTCCGACTCTCCGTTGGTACCTATAGGGTAGCGATCATCTCATCGTGTGTGTCTATTCGGGTTCTACTGTCATTCAATTCTGTCAGTCAAAGGAACTCCTCTGTGCCTGGACCCCAGTGGCGTCGGCTTTTCATTATCATTACAATGCGAATGTCAAACAAGGAAGGGAAAAGAGGGTTATTGAAAAAATGTTCGTTGAAACTTAAGTACTATCAGGCAGAAGTATCATAGAGAAGGGACCATCACCATCTTCTTAACTGTTTCACATGAAAAGCGACCTGTAGCTTATATCGGGACTGTTCACATGTCTGTCATCATGGAAGATGCTACACTTCAACCAGATCCTGTTTTTGTGTAGATTTCCTCATTCCTCTGTCGTCCCACTGTATGAACACTCTCGCAGCTTCATGCGGTCAATTGTGATGCCGTTAAACATTGTGCGCGGATGCAAGCGGTTACTGGGCTTACTAGGCACGTTCCACAGTCATTGTCGAGGATGCATGTTCATCTCATCGTCCAGTGTGGCATCGGACCGCCTGTTACCAGTCTCCAATCGGCGCATCCAGTGTACCCACGGTGTTCGTTCCGTGTGTCGCTCTTTTGCCTTTGAGTGCAACATGCTAAACAATGAGTTTCTCTTCTTTAAGATCAGGAATATCAGTATGATCTCGACTGCCCACTTGTTGTTGTATGTGTTGATGTTGCATGTTGCGTCTTTAAAGGTCGCTGTTGCATCGCTTTGCTTTGCTCATTAGAGATCGTGTCGGGGCTCGCGCTCTGTAGTGGCACTGTGGTCGTTTCGGACGTATGCAGACGCAAGGGATACCTTAGTCCATCTGTTGTCTTTTCCTTGTCCCTCATCTTTCTTAATTCTTCTGACACTTTTTTCTGTTTCCTTTGGATGATTTTTACTTTTCAGATCAAAGAAGAGATCAAAAGTTGTCTGGACTTTCTTCGTCATGTGTATGGCGTGTTTGGTTTCAAATTTGATCTGTACCTTTCGACACGGCCAGACAAATTCATGGGAGAGATTGAAATGTGGAATCGCGCGGAGCAGGTGTGTGGCTCCTTTTCCTCCTTCTTAATGCAGATGCCCTGACATCGCTTTCTCCTTTCTTCACCTTCTGCCTACTTTCGTTGATTTTCTTCTCCTTACAGCAACTGAAAGAAAGTATGGACGAGATGGGTTTGCCATGGCAGCTGAATCCCGGTGACGGAGCTTTCTACGGTCCGAAAATCGACATCACCCTCATGGATGCACTACAACGTCGACATCAGTGTGCAACCATCCAGTTGGACTTCCAGATGCCAGTCCGGTTCAATCTTGTATATGCTTGGTGAGAGTTGGGGAATGCGTCGATTTTGTTAATCAGCTGATCCTGTGGCTGAACCAACCCTCAAGACGCGTTGATGCTATCGAACCCCCATGTAATGCGATCGAAGTTAATCTCTCTCTCTCCTTCCTAGTGATGTGGATTCTTCCTATTTTTGAGTCATTAGGTCACCTTACGCTCAGGCGCAGGGCAGTGTATTAGTTTGTTTGTGTGCTGGTCCCAGCATGTTCCTGACAGCAGCCGCGTTTCATGCTACTGCACTGGTCTTAAAGTCTACAAGATAGAATCTCTCAAAGTTGGACAAGTTTGTTATATATATCTTGCACGCGTCCGTCAGAACGTCGTGAATAGAAGGTTATTGGGTATCTCTAATTGGCTGTACTTTTGTAGTATATAAGATTTGTTGCTGGGCATTGGCAGAATACGTTGCTCGGTGGCAAATGCTGACTTGTCACAAATGGGATGTTGTTTGCCAATGACCTGTTTCAGCATGATGTCATCTGTACTTTTTCATTTTATGCACGTTTATGGAAGACGCTGATACATTTGTAGAGATCTTCACCGACATCCGGCAGTGCCCACCCATCCATCACTTGGGCAGGTCACAGGCAATAATTTGCACCGAAAGTTTTCGATATCGCTCGTTTCAAACAACATTAAACCCCACGATCGGTCTCATCTTTGCTCCAACTTTTCAAGTAGACGTAGTCGAAGCTGGGAGTGCGAATTCGGGATGTGGTGTGGTTTATTACTGATGCCTGTTTACCAAACTGGTTAAACTTCGCGGGTGACGTTTGGCGCAGCAGTCCAACTAACGCCTGGGTCGGTCATCGAATTCGTTGTTGAGCGAGAACACCGCTGTCTCAGTTATCGGGATGACAGTTTACTTAAAAGTAAATTAGTTTCCGAATTAAAGCTGTGTACAACAACCTAAAACCATGATTAGTAGTTCAAATCCCAGGAATAAGAGAATTATTCTGCTTTTATCGAACACTGCTAAGCTACACAGCGGTGTCCTAATCTCGTGGCCTCGGTTGAACAGTTTGGTACGAGGGAAGTGGAGTCTGAGTGATTTTCATAACTCTTCAGCCGGATATACATGTTTGTCAGCCGAAAAATCACAAGCTAACAGGGAACACAATTAACTAAATCGCTCTGTAAGCACCTATTAGAGCAAGCAGTCAGAGGAAAAGTAAGCTGAACCAGAAAATACAAATGGTTCCCGGTTGTTTAACCCACCCAGCATGTTTATACTCTCAGTCGCTTTGCCGATGGTTCATGTTTTGTAACCTGGCCAGTTATCTGGAATTCTTGTAGATCTGTCTACCCGATTTTTTTCATTCTTCTTCATCGTTACTATACCCTTCGTAGTCATTTTATCCACAGATCCCTTGCACTCTTTTCGTTTCAGCGAAGCCGATCCGTCTGTTAAACCCTGCGAAAACGGAGAAATTAACCACGTGCCGTCAATGGCGCATCACGAGGCGAATGTGCGTCGTCCAGTCATCATTCACCGTGCCATTTTGGGCTCAGTCGAGCGCATCATGGCTATCCTCACCGAATCTTATGCCGGTATTAGAACAGTTACTTTTTAATTACTTCAACGGTTCTTCCTTGTTGTGTGTGAATTTGTGAGTCATTGCGCAGTATCGGGACTTAACTGGGCGAATCGTCATCTACTAGATTTTCCCAGAACGTAACTGGTACATCATCGTCGTCATCATCATTATCATCATCGTCATCATCATCAACCTGTTGCTGCTACATCAGCGGCGAAACAAATCTCTCCGATCCCAGGCCAGTTTTTTCAGTGAGAAAACCGATGTATTCTCCTAGCATTGTGTTCACTGACTAAACCTTTCTCACTCCATCACTTCGTAGTTATGAACCCGCTGGAATAAGAAAGGCGTCATCAACATACTGACACATCATACCGAGGTTTTACCGACGCATGACCACCACCATTCGCGCGCGCGAATGCTAACAACATTGCTTGGTCCCCCGTAACCATGGACTAAGCGCTGAATACGTGAGCATATCGATTAAAATGTTTCACACTACTTATCTCGCTGACTTTGTCTTGCAAACATGCAGCACACCGCATCCAATCGCTTATACTTTGCGTTTGATCCCACAGGTTACTTTACCCTTACTGACGGACTTCCTCCGCAGCTGTTCAAGTACGGCGGCGTGGTGATCATTAACCAGCTGGCCTCGTTGTTCCCAAAAATTTGTCATGAAGAGAAAGCGCCTTCCTTTTGGGGCCAATTAGTTATTACCCCGATTCTCATGCAAGGTGCTCGCACTTCATGTGTAAATCATCGCGGGATTAGTCTTATTTCGGTTGCCTCTAAGCTATTTGCATCCATTCTGCTCCGTAGATTATCCCCAACACGTGCATCATCCTACCGTGAAGAACAAGCTGGTTTCCGTCCCGGCCGAGGGTGCGTGGATCGAATCTTTACGCTTTGCCAACTCTTGGAACATCGCCACATTTATCACAGACCCACTGTGGTTGCATACTTAGACATACGTGCCGCTTTTGACTCCGTTGATCGACCTGCTTTATGGCGTTGCTTGCTAAAGATTGGGGTTCCAGAGAAATATACCGCCATCTTACGAGCACTTTACCTTCATACATCCGGCAGAGTGAGGGTCTGTGGCAAGCTTTCCTCGCAATTCACTGTCAATGGCGGTGTGCAATAGGTTTACTCTGTGTACCCATTCCTCTTCAACTTCGCAATCGAAGACGTTCTGTCGAGTGCTCTAGAAGGTTTCCAACATTTTGGCTTAGAGCTTATACCGAGTGAGCGGGCGACCGATTTGGATTATGCTGATGATATCGCCTTACTTGGTGACGATCCTCAGAGTATGCAACTCATTCCGGATCGTTTGGCGGTTGAAGCATCTAAGTATGGCATGAACTTCGCCCCATCAAAATGTAAACTACTGCGATATAGAAGCAAATATTGGTAACTCAGGTTGTTCAGTTAGTGGTCTCAGTGTACGCTGAGCTCGGCCGAGTAAAGTTTTGCATAAGGATTGGCTTACACTTGCTTCCGTGCTCACTCTCAAAGGTGCACAACTTGAGCAGGTAGATCATTTCGTCTACCTTGGGAGCTGGGTTTCTGCTGACGGCATTATCAACAAAGAAGTTTCTCTTCGCATCGCTAGAGCCCATCAGCATTTGCCAATCTGATGCACTTGTGGCTTCGTCGCGACGTCTCATTCTCACTAAAAGGCCGCGTTTACAGCGCATCAGTTCGTTCAATATTGTTGTATGGGTGCGAGTTCTGGCCGATCCGTGTGGAAGACCTGCGTTGTCTTTCTGCCTGCGATAACGGTTGCTTAAGGAGGATTGCTCGTGTTTGATGACAACACCGAGTTAACAGTACTGACGTTCGACGTCGCATTTTGGAGAATGCGAATATTCCCCTCAACAAACTGGTTTTGCTGCGCCAGTTGAGATGGATCGGTCACTTCCTACGCATGGCACCCGAGCGTCTACGGCGTTGCGCTCTATTCGCTCTTCAAGGACCTGGCTGTAGGCAACCGCGTAGTGGTCAGCCTTCCACTTGGCGACAGCACGTGAAATCGCTGACGTCGTGTCTAGCCGCTGTTGAACCCATACTACTTCGAGGATGGGGACCCAAAGATGAAGAGTTTCAGTGGCTTAACACTCTTGAAGACATGTTCCGTAACCGGAATCAGTTTAAGAATTGTGTACAGTGTTGTATTGACTCACATGTTTAAGACTTCAAACATAGAAAATGACAAAAAAGAGAAAAATCGGCCTGTGAAAAACAAACTAAAATGTTTTGTTCTACTATTTTCCAAAATGTTGCTTTCTTCCTGCGGCATAGTAGCTGAAGTGTGTTGCTTACCTTCAACTACTATGCCACGATGATTATGACTAAGTGATTTCCCCTTATCTGCTAATCTCCGTGGCTTTGTTGGCTCTGTGTCTAGTTGCTAGGCTGTTGAGATTACGTACATACTGAGTAATTTAACCCACTTAGCACAGATGAGGCTTGGTTAGTTTTCGACGTTTCTAAATACAAGACATTTCCGTTTCATCAGCACTTAACTTCCCTTCTTTGTCTCTATGGATTACTCGAGCTAAATCTGTTCACTAATTTGCAGCTTTTATCTAGGTTGACACATGCATGCAACTTCATTTCGCCTTCATTTGAGTAATCTCTTTACTACTTTTCCATTTTCTCGTCCCGTGCGCGCTCAGGTAAATGGCCTTTTTGGCTCAGTCCACGCCAGGCCCTCGTAGTCCCTGTCACCTCTGCATTTGACGCTTACGCTACCGCTATTCGAGACCGTTTACATGATGCCGGATTTCTTGCCAGTGTAGACACTGACCCCGGTCGCACCTTGAACAAAAAAGTCCGCACTGGCCAACTATCACAATACAACTTCATACTTGGTAAGGATTTGAACAATTCTGTTCCAACGTTATGTTCCCATCTTTGTCGTTAACCGATTTCTTGAAGAGTTCAATTCATACTTAAAGGTTGATTGCTATCCGACATCATGGCCCCTGCGCTCTACTACTCCCTGTTGTCGTTTCTCGAAGGTTACCGGTTTGTGTTATGTCACACTGAAACATCTCGAACCACACCTGCTTATTGAAACATCCATACCATTTCTCGGCCAAGTTGTCCCCTTGGGCAACAGAATTAATCTGAACGGCAAAGGAGTTACGCTGTGGGGCATACAAGTTTAGTCTTTATTCAATTATTTTGAATCTTGCGTGCGCCGCTCACTTGTGCAGGTGTGTAGGTGTGGGTGTATAGCCCGGCGCCTTCAGCCAATAGGACCTCAGACTCACTAAGTCATTGGGGTGCAGGTGGGAGGCTTTAGCTCCTATCAGGTAACAGTGTCGGTGGCCGATGCACCATGTGAATCTGTGTTTCTCTGTCCAAGGGAGCGATTCGCACCAATTAGAACGAGAGTAAGGATTTGAGCGACGATTGAGTTGGTATAAGGAGCCACAGTCAAATAACTTTGCCATGTGATTTTGAATGTGCAGTTCACCTAAACGCGATGGTTGGCTTGTATGTTCGGCACTCGATGGAGGTGAAGAACGTCATGCTGAAAGCGCACAAGGAAGGAGACGAGTGGAAGCAGGTCGCTTGCACACTGCAGATGAACGTGAAAACTTACCGCAACTGGATACAGGCGTGCGAATCGACAGAACCGGTGGGACAGCACGGGTGAGTCCGTCGCAGAACACTGGGAGAAAATCGCGTCGACTCTCTGGCGAGGTGGGTTTCTGCGGAGCCTACCGTTGACCTTTAACTCCTTCGTTTGCGATTGAAGGCGGAGTTAGAAATTTCAGTAAGTACCAGCACCATCTCACGATAATTGGATGGTAGACTGATAACAATGAAGAAACTGCACACCATTCTGGAGTCCATGAACACGTTGGGGAACAAAAACGGCGCCGGTCATTCGTTTTGCAGCTCCTGGATTACGAGGTGGAAAGAAGGTAACCGGTGTGGATTGATGAGACCAACTTATTTTGCTCCCGCACTCGTGACCGCTCATGACGTGGTAGTCGAGCACAGTATACAATGGCGAACAGCCGGGGACCGAATGTTCATCTTGTCGGTGCCATGACAAACAACGGCTTGATAGCGTGTTCGGTTCTGAGATAAAGTTGCAACAAGCACTGGTGCGCCCAGTGACTGCGACAAGTGCTTCATACCGACGGAGCAGGGTTTGTGGAAAGATGTCTTTTGATTTGTGACAACGCGCCCTGCTACACGCTCCAGGAGAACCTTCTCCTGGAGGAACCGTACCGCTCTGGGAGACTTATACGCCTTGCGCCATGCTCTCCAGCTTTCAACCCCATCGAGGGCATCTGGAGCATAATAAAGACTTATGTAAAACAGGGGGATGGTACTCTGAGATGCTCCTAGGGGGTCCTGAAGGCGTTAGGAATAAAAGTGAGTGTCGGATGCGCTTTTTGGAGCACGCGGTGTCTGAAGCACGGGCCTTAGTGACGCAGCAGCACTGCGAACGAATGGTTCAGCATGTCAGTAAGAAATATGGACGTGTTGTTAATTTGGCCGATCTGTACAACATTCTGTTTTCAGTAAACTACCTGTTCTAATTAAGTGTTGTTCTTAGTTATTATTATGACGGGTCAGAGTGCCCTTTATACCCTGCTAGAAATAGCCAGTTCTCTATTCGGGGAACATCGTGGATTCGGTAAGTTGGTGCGTATGGTCGCGTCCCATACCTGTTTTAGTTGCCGCGTTGTAGAACAATCATGTGAGAGCTTGACAAATAGATGCCACTCTAACACGATTGTGTGGCAAGAAATTATGTTCTACCACCTGTCGTTGATTGTGTTTGGAGAGCCAGTGGATAAGGATTTTGCTAAGGGCATAATAAATAAGAAAATTGAACTATGCAGACTTAACGGACATGGTTGGTGTGTGTGGCCATTTGCTGGATTGCTTAACCCGTTACATTAACGCAGGCGGCTGAACGCTGCATGCGGAAACGCAGAGCATGTAGCGCAAGCACAACTAACGTTTATCGCGCTCTCCAGGGAAATATTTCCGGATGGGTATTTGACAGTTGTGGACTGTATTCGAACACACCACAGGGTTGCGCTGAGAAGGTGCTTTGAAACTGCAAGTAAAATGTACTCGCTTCGGCGAATCACATTTACTCCTCAGGTTGTAGCGTCTGCACAGGGATAAGTGGCTTCGCACGACGCAAATCAGTCCGTGCGTTCATATGGCATTTGCCATTTACAAGTGAAAGTTGGTTTCACGCCATCCCAATTCTACGTCGGTAAATGATGCAGTTATAGCCGGACATCTTTTTCAATCATATCTCGTCATCCATCCACACACCTCAGGCTCCGTCCTCCAACGCCAACTGTGACTACACTGTGTAGGTAACCACAAGATATAAATCAGGCGCACTCTCCATCCATCTACGACCACTCGTAGGTGGTTTATATGAAACTGTCCAGCTGGCTACCAAGTATCAGTTTTGCCTTTCAGCCCCTTGGGTCTTTGACAACCCAATGTACACCCGGATAAGGAAGCTCTGGGTACTCTCGACATAACACATATTACATTAGGCGAGCGATCTGTCGAAACTTAGTTCCAGTATTTTTCGTGGGCAAATAAGCGGTTATCTGACGTCCTTAATTGCAGTCGGCTAAAAGTTCGCATTGTTTACTTGCACATTCAACCAGGCGCTTTTCATCTGGAACTTCATCTACATCGTTGTTAACCTGGTGATACAGCTCCGATGTAAGCGGTTTGCTTTTCAGTGCACTGGGTTTGAGTTTGGATGAGCGACTATCGATGATTGAGCTATGGTGTCGTTCCTGGATTCACAACGCCTGATCGTGCTTAATGACGGGGGGTTTGCATTCTGTAGACGAAGAGATAACTCATCCGCTTTGAATACATTTAGTTGTTTCGTTTGCTGAGACACAGCATGGGGGCAGGTAGGCGGTCCGCTTCGGGCTGCATGTGACATTGGCGGCATTTTTATTACCGTCGTATGTTGGCTACCAAATATACAGGACAAATTATCCGGATAAGCTGTAGGTTGAATACTTTAATGTTACTCTGTATGATCAAGAACACATTTGCGCCGTTTGTCACACTTGTGCAAACGTTCTTCCCAGTGATCCTCTTATTTGTTCCATAGTGATCACTTTCAGCACGTTCACCTCAAGATCCCAAGCGCATATTAGTTTTCATCGAAAATTAGTGTGTTATTTACCGATGGTTTGGCCTTCACGCGCCTATGCTGCCCCCAGTAAGAGTGATAATTTCACCACCCCCTTGGGCGGCAAAAGTAGTTACCACGCCACTGATCACATGGACTGTTGGATGTAAACATATATGATCAGATATGCTTCTGAGTACCATTGTGGATTAGTGTCAAGCTACAACGAATCCCTGTTAGAGTGTAAGACTTCATTGTGGTACACATCACAGATATCAGTGGATCTGTGTCTGGGACATTGAAGATGATCGGACTTTTGCAATCTGAATACACTTTGGTGCGTTTAAGTGACTATACTATTACTTTAACAGTACGCTATATTTACGGCGGATTGTGATTAGGAAACGCCTACATCTTGTATTGTGTCAGCCGCTGGTAAAGGAGACATGTTGCTTTAAGCATGATCACTTCAGTCTGTACCTCCGATAGTTTACCAATCATCTCGGAAACCATGTAGGCTGTTTCGACACTACATTGCTTCGCACAGCTGGGTGAATTCATCTTCTGGGATACTACTTGCTTCGACATGGCGTGTTTGAATGACAAATTCCCAGTAACGTGGGGATTCTTGGAAGCCGTAAGTACAGAATTCACTTCAGTTGGGATAAATTTGCTGAAGTAAGCTTAGGTAATTGACACTCGTAACCTTCTCGGTCAGTAAAAGATAACGGCAACGATAGTTGGAAGATTAAACTGTTTGTCGTTATTGCTCCAATAAGATTAAGATTCTGCCTTAGTGTTAGCCACTGCACACCAGTACCACGCATTGAACCTCCCCTGGTGCGCGTAATAATTTGGCTGAACTTCGTTCCATCAATTCACACAGTTTGTCTCTCTTCAGCCTTTAATCGTAGTGGTGCCAAT